TACCAATTTGCCTAAAAGTTTCAACAAATAGCTGGATTACTGTAATAGTCTGTCATGTTTTTGACATAACATGCTATTTTCGAATATTTTTCTCGCTGAAGATGCTGTGCACAAGTATAATGAGACAAAATCGTTGAAAATTTTTGAAAACTCGATTTCCATTGCGATGAACCAACAACTATTTTAATACTTTTAGATGTTTTCTTCAGAAGCATTGTTCCTACTTAACTTTTTCTTCGATATGATACAGACAACAAGCCGAAAACTAATGCTAGAAGCGAGTTAGATTAACCAGAACAAAACAGGTTAGGATAATTTTTACTGTCATAATTGTAGATTTACCATGGTATTTTAGTTCGGTAGTGTAATTGTAACCTAAAAACACACATTGCACTAAGACCCCTTGCTTCCTTTTTCATTAAACAATCCACAAGAGTATTGCAATATTGATATTGAAATTAGTTGATATTCCTCAACAGTCCACAAATTTACTGGAAATCATTGCTGAAATGCCCCCGGAAACAAAGCATTTGAAATTTCCTCTGCCCTAATACGAGTATGTCAGCTATAATAACTACAACTTCTCTGAGTGCCATCTTAAAAAATCAAGAAAAGCTTCTTCATTTTCAACTATGCGCGCCGTCCTGGGAACATCTCTAATTTATTTTCGGTCTGGTAGGACTTGACCGCTCTTGCACCCTGGCAATGGCCCTCAATGTGACCTTATAGCATGGGCGATTTCTCTCAGGAAAACGTTCGAAAACGCCTCCCTGGCGTTACTCCAACACTTTCCAAAAATGGTTATTATCTCCAAATAATGGTTAAAACTTATTAACTTAAACCACACAATTGACATCTAACACAAATTCAAACCATTACACTCGTGTACAACCTCTTCGGGGAGAAACATATTCGAAAATGGCGTGTTATGTCAACACATGACAAATGTGAAAATTACAGTAGACCAACTATTTATTGAAGATTCTAGGCAAATTGGTATTATTTTTGTAACCCAGCAACAGATATAATTTTTCAATCCCACCCTGAGGTGCCCTTCTGGGATTGGCGGAATTAAGAGTCTAATAACTTTCTTATGCAAACAAAAGTTACTTCTTCGGCTGCACTTTGTGGCGACCCATTGCCGCCAGCACTTGACATTTTTCTCTGGGGCGCGAGTTCTGGCGCATCCTGTATCCTGTATTATATCCTGTATTATAAATAACGTAGGCCTCAGAATAGAACCCTGTGGAACCCCTTGATTTATTTCTTTTTTATAGGAAGTTTTTGACCCAAATTTAACTTGCTGAAATCTGTTATGTAGGTAGCTTGATAACCACTGTAGAGCAACACCCCTTATACCATAAGATTCAAGTTTCATCAATAATATTTCATGATTAACCGTATCAAAAGCTTTGGTAAAATCTACGAAAAGTCCAAGTGCTACAGCAGAGATAATGGCGCCAATAAAGTTATTTAAAGCCTTTTTTATGACGTGGTATGTCGTTTAGTATTTTTAGTTTAGTGGGGAACACACCCTGTTGAAAAGAAAGATTAACATGTGAGTCAGAGGAATTGCTATAAAAAGTGCTATTATTTTTAACAGAGAATTAGTTATTTCGTCTTCTCCAGATGAAGTTGTATTACTTAAGCATTTAATAAGAACCAAAATATCATTTTAAGCCTTGTAAGAAGAACGATTTTCCATTCGAACAAAAAGTTGATGTATTAATAAAAGGTTTAATTTGATGTAAATCAATAAAAGTAGGCAACTGAGACGTTGCAGCTAAAGGTGCGTTAATAAAAAAATCATTGAAAGCATTGGCAGCTTCCAAATCACTTAATATTCTACCGTTGTTAGTAATGTCAATCGTTTTTTCCTTATTAGAACGTCTACCAGTAGTCTTATTTACAATATTCCAAATAACCTTGTTTTTATTCTTTGATTGAAGCACTAAATTATTGTTACGTTCTTTTTGGAGATTTGATAAAGCTAACTGATACTGATTGTTTGCTTGTCTAAATAGTGGCTTAAATTCATTAAATTGTTTACTAATGCTTCTAAAAAATGATACCTTTTGCCTTAATTTTTGAATTTCGGGAGATAACAAGAGACCTTTAGCATTTGTGCTGTAGAAATTATGCATTACTTTAAGCGGAAAACTTGTTTCAAATATTGAATGTAAAATCATCATAAATTGATCGTAAGCTTCATCACAGTTTTGAAGTTCTAATACATCATTCCAGTTCAAGTTTTTTAAACTGTTACAAAAACACTGAATGTTAGAATTAGATAATTTTCTTTTATATGACACAAATTTATTTTTATTTTTGCTTATAACAGTTCCAACAGAAATTTTGATCATAAGCGCATGGTGGTCTGATAAATTATTATCAATTACATAAGTGTTTTCAGCTACACAAATTTGCGTATCTATAATGATATTGTCAATACAATTACTAGAGTTGATAGTTACACGAGTTGGACATTTTGTAGTTAAACATAAATTATTGACACCTAATAATGACGAAAAACTATCATACAACGTTGATCGAGAATTAAAACTAATGTTAAAGTCACCACCAATAACAATTTGCTTTCTAGAAAACATGAGAAACGCACACAAACTGTCAAAGGCTTCAAGAAAAACTGAGTTGTCCGAGTTGTTCATCAGAGGAGGGCGGTAGACGGCTACAACAATCATTTTAAAATCCACAAGTTCCACCCCACACCACTCAAAAATGTTTGGTACAGTAAATTTGGCCACTTCGTCAAGACACTTTCGTTTTAAGTGATCTTTAAAATAAATCACCACARCACCATGTGAACRTTTTGACCGACAAAAGYTAGCWCCAATTCGATATCCTTGAAGAACCATGGTCTSTATTTCAGTKTCAGATTGCCAATGTTCGGAGAGAATAATTAAGTCAGGAACTGATTCTTTTAAAAAGACATTTATTCTTAGAATTTTATTAGAGAGACATTGAATATTTTGGCAAAGAATTTTCAATGGCAGAATCTTTTCAGTTTTAATTTTCATCCTTAAAGGATCRGGGCTGTGATTTTTGACGAAAAAATCTAAATTGTTTTACAATAATATCTTTTGGCCAGTTTTTCGGCTCATATATTTGTTGAAGTAAATTTTCGTCTAAGTCAGTACTTACTTTGAAGGAAACATTTACACCCTTGGAGTCAAGTTTATCAATTGAGAAATCTTGTCCCGGTCAGATTTTTGTCAAATGATTTTTTAAGTTTTCAGTTGTAGTCGGCAGTCAAAAACCGATTTCTTAAAGACTTTAAATGAATAAATCAGTCGTCAATTCGCGATGTGGCCCTTTTACGGCCTTGACCGGCTCTTGGTATCTGTTGACAGCTCTAGAAATTGTTGGTTGGTTAACCCCCCAAACGTATAGCAACATATCGTTGGCTTCTGCCCTCGTTTAAAAGAGCAACTGCCACTGCAGCTTTTTCAGCTGTTAAGTACCGTGTTTTTCTGTTCATAATTGGCTATAAGGGATGCTATAATTAAATCAAACTCAAATGACAAGTTAACTTACATGGATATCACGTAAAAAAATCAGTTTTTTATTGTTGTGTTTTGGAAATCAGCGTTGATTTTGATAACCTGACATTTAATCCGTAAACAATAAATCTACACTAATTGTTTAAAAAAAATCATAGTCGACTGAGTTACTTGATAATGCTACTATAGTATATCATCAATTTTAATACTATTAATCTGCCTTACTATCAGAAAAAATGGATAAGGTGAAATTTTGAAAACAAACTTTTTTAAATTGCTTTAAAACTGCTAAGAAAATTGTTGGGCCCTTTGTGTGTTCAAACATAGGCTGGCAATTTACTTCATGCTTCAATGTTGAATTTGTCTATACAATAATTATCGATTTTTTTGAGCCGATTAAAAATGTCAATTAAAGGTTGTTTTGGTGATTTAGCTAAACGAGAAAGCCCTCCTAAAAAATTTTCAAAACAAAACGTTTCAAAATTATCTAACTTTCCAAATGTTTTGGCATCATCTGCCGGATTTATTAAGCAATGAACGTTGTAAATTCAAAATTCTAAGCCATACAGGTGTTTGTTATGTTCTACGAATAACAACGTTAAAGCTAAATTGCAACTAATATTTGTAATATGAATTTCGGAAATTAGAATTGTAATCGCCACATGAAATAATAAAAAGTGCTTATATGTATACAGCTTATCTATTGTGAGGTTGCTGGACTTAGGATGCTCCACCAGCTTCTCATTCGAAGCGTTTAATGGGTCAAGGGTTGAGATTGAAACGGCACGTTCTACGCTACTCTACATTTATTACAGTACCTTATGTCTATTGTGTACAGTTGAGGAGTCGGTAGCGCCGGTCTCACTCACCCTTTCGCGCACAACCATCATCATTTTCATGTGTATATTGTACATAATTATGTTTCTATAAAAACAAGCAACATTTTAAAGTCGGTGTTGTCTTAATTATTAAATAAAGCTAAATCAGCTAATTTTATCATAAAAATAGCTGTTTTTGATGGACTGGGTAATGTTTTAAAAACATCCTTACATATGATAGTGTTAATTGTTTTTTCAATACTTATGGGTTGTATTTCATCAGGATGTCCAATTGTGTTCCGTAGACGGGTTAATAATTCAACGCTTCCATCCAGGTCTTCCAATCGCAGGACAACTGTTTCCAACCTCACAGAAATACTTGAATACTGCCTCGTCGATGACCCGATACCACACAGGAACTTGCAATTCCAAAAAGTGTTTGGGTTGCATCGCCTATTCGGCTCGAAGTGTATACGTCGACCACAAATACCCAAATCGCCCAATCTTACACTACAATTTTGACAAGGACAGTTGGGCCTAAATATAAAAGGAAAGTTCGAAATTCAGTTGCCTTGAATCGAACTAATTTACTTAGTGGCCTGGGCTTTCACTTTATTTCGCGGGGTTCTAAAATTTGATCGTACTGATTTTGTCTGACATGATGGCGACCATGTCCATTTTTGGTTTCCATGTAATAAACGTCGTCAGGGATAAGTAATTGTTGATAAATTAGGAATACATCGATTGTCGTAGGTGACCATTCCGAGAAACTGTCTAAGCAATTTTTCGTTTTTGGTTGAGCAGCGTTGACATAACATGAACAATTTAACTTTTTCTTAAAGGAATACAGAGTTTGCGCTTTAGCAGCTTCAGAATTCAAGTTGTTCCACAAGTTAAATGATCGATTAGTTAAATAATTTTGTCTGATTGTGGTTTTAAATGGTTCTTTATCTTAAAATTGTGACCTCGGAGTCTATTGTCACTGTTTAGTGTTAAATAATTTGAAGTAATATCTAGAAAGAGACCATGAGTTAGTTGGAACATCTAAATCATATCTTCTCGTTCCTGTCTTTCTCTTAGCGAACAGACTTTCAAACGTGAGAATCTTTCTTTGTATGGAAGTATCGCTAGACCTGAAGGCCATCTTGTTACTGTATGTTATACTCGACTTAATTTCTCATCTTTTTCATACAACGGTCTCCAAACCGGAGCCACATACTCAATGTGGGGTCACATCACAAACAGTTTGGAACAGAATTCAACGGATGGCTTCGGAAAAGCTTTTTTTATTAAATACAGCACTGAATATGCTTTACGGGCTGCACTTAAACACTGATCACTCCAAGTTAGCTTGTTATCAACTACGACACCTAAATCTTTCTCAGAAACAACCTCGATCACATAATTATTTTTCAACTTGTACCGAATTTTTGGGTTTTTATTACCAAAATAAACTATACTACATTTCTGAAAATTAATTGGTAATAACCAAGTGTTGCACCAATTAACAACCTCATCTAAAGCGAATTGCAAGTTTACCTTATGAGGATTACCAAAACTCTTCAAATCATCTGCGTAAGCTACATGAGGACAATCTAGGCTTTCCAATAGATCAGAGGTGTAAATAACAGATAGCAGAGGACCCAGGATTGATCCTTGGGGATCCCCACTTGTCACAGGTTTCTCTTTTGAATCCAATTTCCCCACTCTGAATTATTTCAGTTTTTCTAGGATCTTTTTTGACATAATTATTACTGATAATAAAGTCAAGGTACGAGATTTCCTCTTTAGAGAATGTACACTTATTTTTATTTAGATGTATATTGTACTTCTGTTAACGTTGTAATACGGCTAGTAATCTTTCACCACATTGTTTTTTAGTTGATCCGTGTATTATAATATCATCGAAATAGGACGAGACGCCTGTTATACCAAATAATAGCCGATTTACCCGATAGGTACCGCAATGGGTTGAAATTGTTTGAATTTGCTGACTGGTTTCATCGAATGTTACATGCAAATAAGCTTTGAATAAATCGAGACGACAAAGGATTTCAAATTTTTCAACGGGTTAAGAACTTTGTCAAATATACGTATGGGGTAGTGTGCATCTTCTAGTTCTGGATTAACTGCTACTTTATAATCGATGCACAATCTCAAGGTTCCATCTGTTTTTGGTATTATTGCGAGAGGTGATCCTCAATCGCTTCTTTAGAGGTTATTGAGTTCGGTTTCAAGTTTATCTTAAAGTGCGTACGGAACTTCGCGTTCTTTGATAAAGACAGATTTTGAATTTTCCCTTAATTTTAATAAGGGATAAATCCTACTTTGGCAGTGAAAATTTCTGCATACTTGTTTTTGATTTCTGCTTTAGAATCATAGACATAGCGTTAATTTTTTTTATGAGACGAGCTGAGACCTTCATAGGTCTTTAAAGCTCGATTAAATTTAGTGTACATCTAAACGTTGTTGTTTCTAATTTCTTACGTAATTATGAAAACCAGTTTATTTTAGCATCAATATGTTTTTTGAAAGGTAGCACACTCGAAGTTGATATATGTTCTTCAGTAAGATTGTTCCAGTCACGACACACTCTGCTCGGAAGAAAAAATTCTCCAACTTTTGTATGAAACTTTTTTCTTTCTAATGTAAGACTATGACCTTGTAAACTTGAATTATTTCGAAACGTCTTGACTGCATTGGGATTAGTTTCATATATCGAAGTCTCGTGTAGTAGGGTGGTCGATGATTAAAACAATAAAAAAGTCTCGTAAATTTTCTTTGAATTTTTTCGATAGCATCTGCCTGGGACTTTAATTCAGGATACCAAATGCTGTTAGCATACAGTCTGTTATTGAAATGCGTTAAGAAAATTTAAACGGTGATAGAACTCATCTAAACAAATTACTTTGCTATTTACCATTTTTTCGAAAAATCTTTCTAAACCCAGATAAAATTTTAATTAGTTTGAACCTAAATTCTAGTACCCGCCAATGTCTCCCTGCGTACATTAAAAGCGAAAGAAGATAAAAACTTGATAGCCAAGTAAAAACCAATTTTTTATTCGTAGTAAGTGACAGTGACATTCCAAGTTACGCAACCACACTTGATCATTAATTAATAGAAACTTGCTTGATGCTGCAAATCCATTAGACGGGTCGGACGGTACATTTTTTAAATTGTTTCGTTTGAATAAGAAAGAGGCTCAATGTTTAATTAATGATTTATTTTTTAATGATTTATTTAATTTAGCTTCATGTAAACGGCGGCTTGCACCATGCTGCTATACCTTTTTTTTTGGTCATGGGAGTTATCAACTTGATAAACGATTATTTATTCAAAAATATGACGGCACACATGTAGCAATTTGAACAGGGGAATTATGCGCAAGACAAGACTGACAAGACCTCAACTTTACTTTTGTCAGTTGCCGTCTAGATATTTAATTTAAATAATCGCGTTTAATAGCTTTTCAAAAGATGAATATCAACACAAAAGTAAAAAATAATTAATAATATTGTAGTTTTGATGTTTAAAAGTATTTATATATTGTCAATAAAGTTAAATTAGATATTTTCAAAAGTATTGCGATGTGGCAACAGTGCTTTTTTTAACAGCCTTGTTATAAAAATTACTATAAGAATTTGTGTTAAATTTTTAACAGGCATGTTACAATTTAACATTTAACAGGACTGTTATTTTTAACACAAAAAGTACAGAATAGGCGTCAATATCGATATATTTAATTGTTAAATTTGTTGCCCCATTATCACTACGTTATTTAAGTTCGTTGCTTAGGTCAGTAAGATGCTTCAGCTGACGAGGCGTCTTGTCATCCCGTATAACAATCTGAGAGTAAAGAACATTGTTTCGAGAGAAGTTTTATTTTTAAGACAAAGCCGAGCCATTTCAGGAGTTTTAAAGCGCAATTTAAGGAGACGAGGTTTGTTATTTATTTTTTTACCGATTCGAGTAACATTCTCAGGAGAAACAACAAGGGATGCATCGAGAACCTCCAAAATGTCATTAGCAATATCAGCGTCACATTTGTTAGGATTTGGTTCTACATTGTAGAGAACTACATTTGTCGCACGGATAGCCCGTTCCACCGACTCATTAATAGTGTATTTCTCTTTTGAGGAACTTGAGGGAGAGACATGGTCTTAAATGAGTGCCTCAAGTTGAGACAGGCGTGTGTCAAATTAAGATTTTAATTCGTCGACAAGGTTTTTAATATCAGTAATCACGGAGAATGTGACATTGCAGCGGTTGCAGAAAACCTTAATATTTTTGGATTTAGGTTTAGAAATCAATTTAATTTCTTCCCGACTCATGTCCAATCCAATCAAAATGCAAGTACAATTTACAACTGTCACACTGTGTGTGGGAAGAGTTAGTAACAGAGTTGAAACAGTGACAGCAGTTACCTTTGCTCATATTTATTCTGTACTCAGTAAGCTGTTATAAATAAGCAAAGTTTATAATTAGTTAACTGATGACAAAGGTGCTAGAAAACAGTTACACCTTCTCCAATTTGGAGAGAATTGGGGCACACACACCCCGTCCCGGTTATCTCGCAGAGATAACTAATTCTGGGTAATTAAAAAAATCTAATTCAAGTTGAAGAAATAATTAACGGCTTAATATGTGTTTATTAGAAATTAAAAAGAAATAAAACAAAAAATAATTAAGTTTGAAAATGTAAGAAAAAAGAAAACAGAGAATTGGCACACGGCCATTTCTGCGACTTAAGAGGTCTAAAAAAAGCCCTGAACAGATGCAAAAGATAATATAATTTGTGATTGAAAGTTAAGTACTTGCCTATTACTAAAGCTTATCCAAAAAAGAAGCAATTAAAAGCACTATTTATTAAGAAATTAGCACAAACAAATGAGCACAGATCAACCATGCGTACACTATGGCTGTGACCCAATGTTCTTGATTTGGGTTTCCGCATTCGCTGTCGATTTCGTCTAATATTATTTTAAGTTGTCGAATTTAAGAACGACCTAAAATGGGTGGAAATTTTGAGTGAACTACAAACATAATTGCGTTACATTTTGTATTTTTATATGAAACTGGTACTTATGCCTAAAGTTTCGAATGTTTCATTTCGCGGGTTGAAGCGTTAAAGGGGTGAAATGACGTGATCGTACTGAATCATAGTCCCGAAGTAATTTTCACAATGAATACTTGATCTAATGCTACATGCGATAAGTGGATATGAAGTAGAAATTACAGAAGCTTAGGACAGAATTATTTTTTGCAAGATATCTGCATTTAATTTTTCCTTTCCGTCTAACATTAATTCCCTTATTCTTTGTTCGTGTTACAATAATACAAATATTACAAATCCGTTCATATTATTATATTAGTTATTTAGCCATTTGAATTTCAAAAGTTTTAATTTTACGGTGTTGGTTTGAAACTTTACAAATGACATCTGGTTGACATTATTTTAACGAAAAGTTGACCTTGACTTCACCAATTATACAAATTATAATTAGACGTACTACAAACGTCCTTTTGATGTACCACAAACGTTCGTTTGACGTACTATAAACGTCTCGTTCACGTACTGCAAACGTCATTTTAACGTAACAAAATGCCATTCCTGACGGTAATAAAAAATAAACCATTTTTTTCAAATATATTTATTGGTACACTTTTTGGTTACATTAACATTATCCACTACAACACTATATACAAAAAACAACAATCTTAATAAAAGAGTACACCTCGTGCCATTTTAATATAGTCATGACTTTTACATTGTAATCTTTTACACAGGAATGAAATATAAACGAAGTATGCATGGTATTTGATTTCTGTGTAAAAGGCAAATTGTAGCAAGCAGATCCTAATGACGTAATGACAAGTTTAGAGCCAAAATATAATAAATACACTGGCGGACACGGAATTTTGGACATCATTATGTCAGTTCAAAACATGTCAATGTATCAAGGGAATCGTATTTGGCCTTAAACTGAGTGATATTGCCACACAAAACAACTTCTGCTGGTAAAGCATTTCAAAGACCCTATTAGTTATGAAAAATTGCCTTGCGCTTGTACGGAAATTATCCTTGGATAGCTTAAAAGAGTGCCCTCTGGTACGTCTGTCGGGATGCAAAGGGAAGAGGTGTCTAATTGACGAATAGACATTTTTTAAAGAACAGAAGGCTGTTATCAAATCACCTCTTCTACGTCTTGCCAATAACTTCATAATTTGAAGCCTTCTGTCATAAGGCGGTCTCATAAGACGACCAAAGGGAATTCTTGTGGTGCGACGTTGCACAGCTTCCAAGGAATCTTGGAAGGACAAGGACAAGGAGTCCATGCACTGTTTGCGTACTCCAGAATAGGCCTCACATACGTTTTATAAAGTTTGGCAACTACAACAGGTTTTGAACCAGAACACACAACCAATGAGGTAAACAATTTTGTTTGCCTTTCTGATAACATTGGCAGCGTGCACAGAGCAGGAAAGGGTGGATGCAATTGTCGAGAATTGAGTCTACCTGAGCTAACTCGTTGTTAGCCATACAATAAGTGTGCCTTGGATTTTTTGACCCTAAATATAAAACAGAACATTTTTTTAACATTAAGCGGAAGCACCATGTGTCAGACCATTGACTCACCCCTGAGATATCTACTGCCAGGGTGGAATAGTTTTCACTGGTATTGTAAATTTTTACATCATCGGCATACATTAGAAAGCGAGATCACAAAACGTTTTTCAAATCTGCAGTAAACACGATAACTAATAGAGGCCCTAACACGGATCCTTGAGGAACACCATTCAAAACCTGGAAAGAACCACTAAGCATGTTGGCCACCTTAATTTTAGACAAACTTTAACTTAACTTAACTTTTCAGACAAAAAGGCGTTTATCCATAAAAGAAGTTGACCATTTATACCATAATGTTGCAATTTATACAACAGACGTTTCTTTGGTACCCTATCAAATGCCTTTGAAAAGTCAAGATAGACAACATCCACACAGTTTCCCGCATCCAGGTCCTTAGTCCAGTCGTTAAAGCTGCATAAAAGATTAGTAGAGGTTGATTTCCCAGATATAAAACCGTGCTGTTCTAACGGTACAGAGAGTGAAAACTTAACCATTTCACCATAAACGATGGATTCCATTTTTTTAACAACTAAACTAATTAAACTAACACGACGATAGTTCTCTGCATCAAATTTATCTCCTTTTTTATAAATTGGTGTAACTAGTGCTGTTTTCCAATCATTTGGTAATTTACCGACAACAAAAGATTGATTCATAAGAATGGATAAGGGTTTGCATAAAGAATTTGTGCAGTTTCTTAACAGACTAGCTATTATATTATCTGGGCCTGGAGATTTTGTGACATTTATTTTCTTCAACTAGTCCAAGACAACTTCTTCGGGAAAGTTAATTATATTGAGCTGTTTATCGTTAGAAATACTACCTAGTTTTGGTAACGACACGTGTGACTCCTCAACAAAAACTGGAGAAAGTTTTCGCAAAAACTTTTACTCCAGCTCATCCTTTGTAATCTGTCCATTAACGTCTTTAACCTGCAGAGTTTTTACTGGTCCCGATAACTTAGAACAAATGTACTTAAACAAAGCCTTGGGATTTTTTGATTCAGCAATATGCATTTCATACCCAGTCTTAGCTGCTTGGATAATGGATGAAGGCTTGTTGTAAAAAGTTCGATGCGCCGCATAATCGTCAACATGTTTAGTGCGTTTATATACTCTCCACAGCGCTCTCTTTTTCCTAATTTGTCGAAGAATGTAGTTGTTAATCCATGGCTTTTTTGACGATCTTTTAATCGTTTTGATTGACGTATTGGAAGAAACCAAACCAGTGAGTACTTTTTTAAAAGCATCCCAATTATGTTCTACTGAGGTAACTTTTAGCAAATGATCCCAATCAATTTCCTTAAGCTTTGAATTTAAATGGCGGTAATCAGTAACCACTTTCAAGAAGCTAATTGTTTTACCCTGAGAAATAAAACAAATCTGAAGATCAATTTTTAGTACTGCGTGATCAGATTTACCGATGGGATCCAAATACTCTAAGTTAGCAAAAGAAGTAGTATGTGGTTATAATAAGATCCAAAATTGACGCCTGCTGGTTAAATCTATATCGAGTTGGTTTAGTAACAATTTGATGTAAATGACTATTCACTAAAAAATTAATAAACAATTGAGAAGGAGCATGAGAGGAGGAAAAATTAGTCAAAGGCCACGTCAAATTTGGAATATTAAAATCTCCAAATATAAACAACTTATCGTACGAATTAGCTAACCTTGTTAGCGATTCAAAAAGGATTTTGTCGTCATTAAAATTAGTGTTTGGAGGCCGATATATGTATCCAAGAACGAATGTTACATTAGAGTTGCATACTTTCAGAAAACTTGATTCAACTCCTGGGATATCAGTGTCAAGTAAATTTAATTTAAAATTGGCTAAGATGAGATCTGATACATAAATACACACTCCACCACCTTTTCTACTATTTCGATCTTTCCTAAAAATAGTGTAATTGTTTAACGCAACCAAAGCATCAGGTATAACCGAAGACAACCATGTTTCCGTCAGTATTACAAAACCAGGTTTTTCCGAGCAAATGTAAGCAACCAACTCATTATATTTAGCTAACAGCGACGTTACGTTAGAATAGATTATAGTATTAATAAAATAATCCGAATCGAAATTAAAAAAAAACTGCAAATACCTGTAAAAAGAAAAAAACACATAAAACAAGAAACAAAACAATGTAGAACTAAGAGGGAATTACTTCTGGATGCATGGTATCACCATCTACTGAATCACCCGTTTTCTCTCGTATTCTCGAGAGCTTTTTTAAGTTTTCGGCTGATTTTTTTTTACACGGTTTTGAATACTCTTGTGGGCAAGAATGGGAAATACATCGTACAACAACGCACCTACACCTTCAAAATCGTCGGTGTATGAACGAATAAGCTCCAATATGTTTGGTTCACCAGCCGCCTTATCTACAAGATCTGTTGTCTCAGAGAAGCTAATGAGCATTTTCAATTAAATCCTTTGCTGGTGCCAACAGCTCGGATGTTGGGGTTACACTCTCCGTAGAATCGTAAGACTCAAGTTTTTTTGGTTTGCTGGACTGGATTACACTAGTCTACGAGGTACCAGGAAGCAAAGTTTCGTTAACTACGCGTACGCGTACGTACGCCAATCGACTGCGGGAGATAACTTGAAATAAAAACAAGCTACTATCGAATCCCAAACTTGTTATCAGATGAACGGAAAACTAAACTCGACTTTTAAGCAATCACGCAACAATGTGGAAGCGAACAAACTTACCACCCCAAAGAGAACATCTTTGGGGAGCAATCCATCGAAAAGATATGAATTTGTCTCAATAAAACCCCTTGAAAATCACTTCAATAAAGGAGAACTTTTATCGGCACGTTAACACTCGCGATTCGATACTAGGAATATGATTGACGTTTGAAACTAAAATTTGAAAGTTTTAGTTGTTTGGCGTCGATTTTCGGAAACAAAAATGCCAGCAATACGTGTTTTTATATAAGTTCAATAAATTATTTTGATTTGTTGTTATTTTTTCTGTAGCTATCAGGATAAAGGTTACAAAAACCGAAAGTGAGGTTAGTTGCCTAAGGCCCATTTTACATTTTTATGTCACTCGAATGACAAATCGTCCAAAATTCCGTGTCCGCCATCTCTCTATCCTAAATACTATGTGAACTCAAAAGTGTTTTTACCTGTAAAATATGCAAAATTATTATTGAGCTGCGAATTCAAATTCAAACTTGTGTTGGATTCCAGTTCTTTTCATCAGGAGCCCATGGTATTAATAAAAATCATTTTGCAAGTTAAAAAGGTATATGAATAGCTTACAGTATTTCTTAAGTACAGTCAAACTTCGATAACTCGAACCGAACTGCCACGAAAAATAGTTCGAAATATAAAGAATTCGAGTTATCAGACTTAAATGAAAAATACAGCTATATTGAACCACTTAACGGCTTTATCCACATTTTCAAATGTTCATTTTTTTCGGTCTTTTGCAGTTTTGGCTAACAGTACCCTCTTCGATTGCCTTAATAACTTTTTTATTATACCTGCATCATAATCACTGATTAAAACACGCAAAAGCGTGCATAAAGGGGCCTTTAAAGCTCTAGTGCTTTAAAGTTGCCATGGTAACAATAAATTTAGTTAGAAATTTAGATAATGCTAACACGAACGAATTTATTTATTTATTGAAACACACATGAATCGTACAATTAGTGTGAATTTTTTAGCATCTGGAAGCTTTATATAGGTCGCAACAAGAGACGGATATTGACCAAACAACTATTTTGATTGAAGTGGATTCTTCAATATAGCCACTACGCAACTTGCCACTACGTACTTGCACTACGCAAATTTTGATTTTTCCGGAATTAATCGCAGTTCTGCTTGTTCTGCTAGCCTTTTAATATCTTCACTCAATTTCTGAACTGATTTTTACAAACGTCTAAAAATGTACATAACAACGTAAACTAGTAACCATAGATGAATATTTTATATAGGGTATATAGATGGCGTACTCATGTACAACTTTTTGAACTCGTAAAGCAGCGCCTCTGTAGTTTGGACGCTCAACTAAATATAAAAAAGCGGGCTTTTTGAATGGGTTAAATAATGCTTATTGGTAAAAAAACAGATCCATTGGGAGTGGGAAGGAAAAATAAAAGTTAAAAAATTATTAAAGTAATTTAATATCAAAATATGAAATAAATGTTAGACAATGTTCATGACGAAAGCACAAAAATATTCATAGTAATTACTAATTACAATAAGACAAAGATTATGAAGGTTTTTCTTTACCTTAAACATCAATAATTTAAAATAGCAAGAGGAAAAACGGTTTCGCTTTCTGCTTTATGTTTAAATTCAACTATGTGATTCTCAAATTTATCTTTTATAGGTACATCAAAAACAATTAGACAAATGTACACAATATCTTAATTGACATTGCAGTTCCAAACACTCACAGCATATCAAACAAAAATTTCTAAATACATGATTCTTGCTAATAAAATTAAAAACATGTGAAACATGAAAAATGTTAAAATAGTAAGTACCAATAATATTTTCCCCAATTATAGTTATACCAAACAATTTAAAAGTAAATCTTGAACTTTTAAAATTAAATTCAAATGTAATTATTTTGAGATTTAAAAAGCAGTCCTTTTATAAACTTATAATATTGTTAGGAAATGTCTTAATATTAACGAAATTCATATTAACATAAACAATAATAACTTAATAATAATTCAATAGGTTACGAGGCGGCAGATCTGTAGTGATGCTCGATTAGAAAATTTAGAGGGTTTTTCTTACATTAATCTCATTTCAAACAATTCATCAACATCATTACTTGATAGCAATATCTGTAATGGTGAATTTTGCCTGACTGCTGGTCTAAAACGACGGGTCAGTAGAGTGTAAAGGTTGTGGAAATTATTTGTCAGAAAATTATGTATGTCTTGAATCATTTTCTGCCAAATAGTGTCTACTTCTTTTGCCATAATAATAATAATAAAAATCTTGACGAGTAGATACACTTTAAAAAAGAGTCTGTTAGATTATTTACTTATTTAGGAACTCCTGGAGTTAAAACTTTTTTTTTTGTTGCAATATTTTAAATATCTATCTCTAGCAGCCACTTTAATTGCATCTTTTGATCAATTCTACTTTCTTTCCCAATTAGGATTTTATTTATATTTTTTACCCAGCTAAAAATGAAAAGTCGTACAGACAAATTTATAAATTTTTTTTATCACGTCATGTTCCGTGCAGTTACGAGTATCTCTATCATCTATAAATATTCTAAATAATTCGTCGCATATTGTTGCTTTCAGACCTCTTTTTTGACAACATTTTGGTAGTATTTCAGATACTTTTACCTTAATTGAAGAAAAGAAAAAAGATATTTTTGCATGTAGGACGTCCCTGAAGCTTTAATTTTTTGATAATGTAACCTGCTACGTAAGAATCACTTAGTCGACTTATATCGACAATAGAAGAAGCACCGTCTTTCCTACTTTGCGCCTTACAATTTTCGGTTTCTCCCTTTTCAAAAAAATACATTCTACTTTTTTTCTCTGTTGACTCTAAATCGAATAAAGAATTCAGATCTTGCAAACACTGACCAGAATTATCTTCTTCGCAGTTAGAGCCAACAGATTTACTAGATGTCAAATTGTTAATTAGCAATGTTTTAAAAGCCGCCACAAATGCCGAACAGGTGGGATTGTTACTGCGAAGTGCGTGACTCCTTACACAACCAAAAAAATTTTCAAGAGGATCCTGATTAAAATTGCGAGTTAAGAGGGCACTACTACCCTCTACACTCATTTTTTTATATATTTCTTGAAAACCCTTCAAGGTTGCAATCCAATTTTTTATAGATGGAGGAAGATGCTTTTTACCACCGTGGTCCATAAAGTACATACTACTAAAAACTTTAATAGCTGCTGACCATAACTGATGATGTGGTGAATATTTTTTGACTGCTGCTCTGTAAATTTTGCCATTATTAACTTCGAAACAGCTTGCATTGACGCTGTCGAAAACTTCGTCGAAGAATAATAACACATCAGCAGTTTGTTGTGCTGTTTCATCTAAAATTCTGCACTGAGGAGCTGTAAATTTGAAAACAGAACATAATAAATTACTGCTTACAAAAAATACACTAACATGCAAATTTTCTCATAATTGCAGATACTCTTTGACTAAACACTTGTGCTGCCATTTTCACCTTCATTTTTGGTATTTTGTCAGACAGCACGTGTTCCGCAGTTAATTTAGGTAGAACCCTAATATTTTGTTCTCCCGGATCAGCTTCAAAAAGTTGTAGTATATYCTTCCACTTTGCGACAACTGCTTTACCATTTATGGTGCAATGGAGGTCTTTCGTTAAAAGGTTGTTCCTTATACCTTTCAATAAATGTGGTGGGTCAAAAAGTGGAATAATTGGCTCTCCATCAATTTCAAAGCAGTTGCCTTTCCACTCCTTCCCACTCCTCATAAAGGCTGCTTTTGTGTCTTCTATTAATTTTTTTATAGCAGCTTCATTTGAAGTTCCTTGGACACAAATTGTCGACACCACATTAAGTCCAGCAAGTCTGACTTCTCTTACTATTTCTTTAATCATTCTCATCAAATCTGCAGTTTTAGTCTGGGTCTTCGAGAACATATAAGCCACAGGCTGCTTAAACTTTTTTCTTATACCTCTAAGCATAAAAACTAACACATGGTCAGCAATATTTGGCTTGTCTTCTCCATCTCCATTATCTTCGAAGCCAATTACTCTGTCTTCACTTTCTAAGTATTTTAGCGAAGGCATAATACTCATCTCATCGAAGAGTAGCGAACAATATCGATGTGATTTATGTAATTTTTTTACTGAGTTCTTTAAGTTTTCGAAAAGACCTTTGTTGAGACCTGTATTTAAAGTGACTCGCTGTAGCAAAGCAGTCAGAGTTTTTCTTGCCGGAAGAACAAATAATTTTTGTAGCAAGCGATATGCTTTAGGACTTTGTTTATACATCGATAAAGAAAGAATCTTTTCTTCTAACGTGAAACGCCTTCCTTTGGCTTTTTTTACAGTTTCTCGCATTTGCAAGCTAGTAAATATCTTTGCCGCTGTCGTCATATTATTGCTAACTTTTTTGAATGCAGAATCCTTTGATAAAATTCTTGCAGCTGTTAACCGGCTTTTAAAACCACGACATTTTTGATTTAAGCGCCTAACTTTTTGTTTCAGTGCACATGCAGCACTATAAAAATGAGCAGCTTTTGGTGACAAGTATCTTGCTCTCGTAACACCAATACTATTTAGAAGACCTCAGGAACTATTATACCCTATTTAATTAAAATGTGTTGTACTTTTTTTAGTTTAATTGATGTATTCACCATTTTTTTGTTTTCTTAGTGTGCTTGAGTTGTTTGATTTTTCGACTGCATTTCTGCATAGTGATTGGCTGTCGATATTTAATTGAACAGCTGAAACGTAAACAATAAAATATATTTTGCTTATGTCTAATTAAGTAAAATAAAAAAAAAAATATGTTAATATTAAAATTAATACGTTTCAATATTACCTAGCTTTTTTCTGGGTGGACCATCGATACTCGTAGAATATGTTGAAGGAATGGATTCTACCACTTCAGCATTTTTAGTCTCATCATTTTCATAAATGACCACTACAAAAAATTGAAATTATCATAAAAAATGAGTGCTTATATGGACTTTTATAACAAATATTATAAATTTATTTATAATATAATATAATTTTTTTAATCTATTAATACTTGGTAAGAACAACGTTGGAACAGCCGTCCTCAGAAGAGATTTTTTTCCTGGATTGAAAAAATTTTCTGAAAAGTGACACCTACAGATTCTTTGCTTGTCATAAATATCTTCAAGACTCATGTTAGTGAGTTTACCACCAATAATAGAAATCCATTGACGTAGCATTGACTCTTCTTTTCGAGGATTTGGTAACCGGTAACGTTCATTACCTGTCATTGAAAAAATTTAAATAATTTAAACCTTCCAACCGTACAAAATTAAGGTACAAAAAATATTAATAGTTATTTTACCAAGAATTCGAAACCAAATTATACATTATCTTTATATTGTGCTAATTGAAAAGATTATTAATTTAATTTTAAATGAAAAAAAATGTAATAAGCAAATGATGTCTAGCAAAAATAAACAATTTTTATTATACGACTTATTTATACTATATATTGTTACTTAAAATGAAAATTAATAAATTAGTTCCATGAGTTTTATTAAGATAATGAAAGTACGAGTAAAGCATTAAGAACTAAAAAGTATTGTAAAACTAAAATAATTATTATGCACAGGTAAAATAAATATTAAAACATCCAGATAGGAAAATATTAATTAATATTATTAATAAAACTTACCTTTATGATTACAACCAGGCACACAACATTTATGAGCACCCATATTTTATTTTTGAGCACGAATTAAACTTGCGAAACTAGATAAACTACGTGAAATATCAAAAATGGCAAAATAAACTAATTCAACTAAGAAAAATAACTAAACTACACTTAACAGAAAACTAAGAATTAGGAAACGTAATAAACAGTAATTGAAATCTTGGTTTGGCCAAAAACTACACGTAAGTACTTTGATCGATTTCACCGTCAAAATTTGATTGACGATGCCAAACCGCCAAAATTTATATTTCCAAATTTCGATCTGAGCGCCTCTGGTGTTTGGACGCTAAATTAAATTCATAGACTGAATTCAGTAATCTAAGAGATCATAGCATGCTAGTAACCGTCTCTACGAAAACGATTCACAAACAACCTTTGATAATTTTATTGTGTGAATTCACATTTTTTCAATGGTCATAAAAGATCGTAAATGGGCAGGTATAATAAAAAATAGCGTATAACACTCGTTTATAAGCGCCTTTAAAACACTTAAATTAAATTCTGCAAAGTTATAAACAAACTTCCAGGAAGAGTTCGATTTATCGAGTGAGAAGAACATCTTATGCTGTCGAGTTATCGAGAAATTCGAGTAATAAAAGTGCTAATTTAATGGGTCATTTACATGGAAAGTGTTTTGATGATGATGCTGGTGCGCCGCCGCACAATGTTGTGTTAGAATATGCCTTGTTGATCGATATAATATATATGGTGTACGATGGATGGACGATTTATATCTACTATTATTATATACATACCTTGAAACGATGACAGAACTGTCGATGTTCGTCGTAATTTCAACTTGGTCGCGATTTAAGGGCACGTACATTTGGTTGATGATGAGTTTTTTTTTTTAATTTGGCGTCAAAGCTATCCATGAAAGTTCGATTGTGAACAAACTATTCTATTGAAAGTTATTTAAAATTGTGGTCCGTTCACAACTCACTCATGTCACCGCCAACTATGACGCCAAATTTAAATAAACACCTTTTATAAGTTTTGCATTCGCCGCCTATGACTTTCGAGTTATCTGCTCCGCCCGTAGACTACCTCACCCTTTCCCGACCGCTCAACTTTGGGTGTACGCACAATACTTGTTGTTAAGCCTGATTTATAGATTGACGCCCGTTCGTACAACGCAACCGCTAGCGCAAACGTTGACGTTTCACGGATGTTGTCTCAGACAGACCATTTTATATATTACCGAAGCGTGTTCGGTGCGCAAGCGCAAAGTAGGAGAATTGACAGCCGACAATAGTGAAATTGTGATTGTGACGTGTGATAGTACGAGTAGTATAATGACGAATAAAAATGCAAACTATTTACTAGCTGCTGCAGGGTTGCTTATGTTAACTGCAGCTTATTATGGTGGAACCAAGAGAATAACAAGATGCTGGAAAACGCGACCTATATATACCACACGTCGGAAAAATGGTTTCTATCGAGCATCATTCCTTCCAATGAAAAAACAAGATTCGGAGCAGTTCTTTAAGTACACCAGGATGACTGTACAAGTTTTCGACCATTTTTGTCAACAACTAAAGGAAAAACTTGTAAAGAGACGAATATCCGATGGGATTTGCCCTGAAGAGAAAATTGCAATCACCCTACAGTAAGGAAGCATTTTGTTTAGAAATACGATTATTGATATTTAAACGTTTTGCAGATATTTGTCGCAAGGAGTTAGTATGCAAAGCCTAGCCTGGACTTACAAAATGGGATTAACAACAGTACATTCAATTATTCATGAAGTATGTAAAGTAATATGGGACGTACTCGCTCCACAATATCTCAGCGAGCCAAGCACCGAGGAATGGCAACACATCAATATACAAGCACCAGCCAACAGTGGATCTTTATTTTTCAATTATAAAAAAAACTCACAGCATAGTATTATTGGCATCATGTGATGCACAGTATATGTTCAAGTTAGTTGATATAGGTGCATATGGTTCTCAAAGTGATGGTGGTATTTTTAAAAATAGTGTTTTTGGGCAGCGATTAGATTCTGGCTCACTTAATGTTCCTAAAGATACTTACATTCCGAATACAAGTGTTAAAGTGCCATATGCTCTAGTTGCTGATAAAGCATTTCCCCAGAAAAAGTATATAATGCGTCCTTATGGAGGACGACATTTAAGTATGGAAAAAAGAATTTTCAATTATCGTCTGTCCCGTGCAAGAAGAATGATCGAAAACACATTTGGTATTATGGTAGCAAGATGGCGCATTTTAAAACAAACAATTGTTGCTGATGTAACAAACAACGATCATATGGTTAAAGCAGTGGTTGTGTTACATAATTTTTGTCTACAACAAGGATGTTGTAACATTTACTGTCCTTCTGGATATGTTGATGTAGATGACAAAGACAATGGACAATGGAGATCTGAAATTAAACCTCTGCCATCTGTTGGAAGGGTATCAACCAATACTGCTACTAGATTATGTTACCACATCCGAGACCTGGTTTGCGAATATTTTTCCTCAAATGTAGGGGCTCTTCCATGGCAAAATGAAAGGGCATTGAGAAGATAAATAAATAATAAAGCTTTTATAAAAATATCTATGTTTTTTTTAAAAAAGTGTATCTTTGTAATTACGAAATTATAAATACATATAAAACGATATCGTGTTTATAAGTCTTCCAGCAACAGCACAATTGCTCTTCTTTTAGCTGAGCGTTGTTCCGCGTTCAGTTCTTGTAACCTTTCGGCAACATACTGCCCAAAAGCACTGTCTGTGTTGAGTTTTTGTGAACCCTGATCAGGTTGAATTTTAGACACAATGTCACGAGCAACCTGTACTAGATCATTGGTCACCTTATTTTTATTCTGTTTGGATGATCCTCGTGATGCGGGAGTCGTCAAGGCAGTAGTGCAGTGTACAGAGATGGGTGTAGTGCAGTCTATTGTGTGGGCTGCAGAGGGGGGCGTCTTACTCTTTTCTTCTAAGAAGAAATTTTCAGTGTAGATTCTACAACATTAATTTAGTTATTTTAGTGCTGGCAAACCTTTATTATCAACTTACAGCGGATCTGTTGGTGATAGATCATTATTTATTTCATTCAAAAAGCTGTGTATTCTCTGTGTTCGATGTACCTATAACAAACAATTCATAAAACTGTGTGTATTGAATATTGCTAATACATACTTGTTGATGCTACTGAATCTGAAGATGACAATCTTTTAGCAGCAGTAGCAGTGTAAGTGTTTCGAGGTGGGGGGCCAAAAACCTCATATTTTTCATGTATGGCCACGTATAGTCACTTTCACATTCTTGACCTGAGTGCGTAATTACCTTTTTTTTCTCTCTAACATACCGGTCTCTTAAATTCTTCCATAGTTTCCGGCATTGTTCGCCTAACAACAATAACAGTACATTATATAGTTTTTACTAATTAACTTCATAACAATTTACCAGTTATATGCAAGATGTCTCCAATTTTATCAAAACTTTTTTGTTTTACCAAGTCATCTTTAAATAACCGATTGGCTTTGTCATAAATATGCGGTTCTTCCCGAATTAAATCAATCAACAGAGCGATATCTATGCCTAAAAGTTTTTTAAGGTTATGATTGCTTACGTTATCAAATTGTTACTTACGTGATCCTTCCATAAGTACAGCGAACAATACAACCAATCGCAAATTGTCGAGAATACTCAGAATATAACAAATTAACTAACTGGTGAACACAATTCACAAAGCAGGTGATGAACGAACAATGACAATGGCGGAATATCCGTTGTTAGACATGTGCGCCAAATTCGAATCTCTGCCCTGTGATTGGTCGAGTTTAACCGTCGACACGCGAAAGTTGGATCTTGGCCAACTGTGGCGTCAACGCTTGCGCTGCAGCGCTTACGTTTGCAGCTGTAGGCAGTTTATAAATACTATCATTTGAACAACGAAATTTAACTCGGTACGTTTGCGCTAGCGGTTGCGTTATACGAACGGGTGTCAATCTTTAAATCAGGCTTTATTGTTGAAAGTGATTTAAAATAATAATTATTATTACACTGGAGCAATAGTGCAATTAGTAAAAACTAATGTTAGGGTAAGAGTACCAATTGTGGCCAGTTTTCCAGTTTAAGACATTTGTTGACTTCATGGTTTAGTCATTTTAATAATTTTTAATGAATTTTGAAATAGCTAGCGGAACGTGAAAGAGTTTTTACCCGTTAATCAGAAGTAAGATGTAAAAAAAAGACAGAACGTGTTTTAGTGTAGAAATTAATTATTTACTTGAAAAAGTCCAAAATCACCATTTGTGGCCACTTTATCACTAGTTGTGGCCATCACTTGTTCCTGTTGTGGCCATAGTCTTTACTCAAAAAAAAAAAAATGCTGGTGTAACATTAAAATAAAGGTTATTTATTATACCTAGTAGGTGGTATTATTTATATAGTATTGTAGTATAGTTGAGATAGTTATAACAAAAATACAAAAATATTTTAAAAAACAATCAAAATAAACAAACAAAGAAACAAACTCTATAATTACGTTTTATCACACAGACATGAGAACAAAAACTTTTTAGCGTATATACAGGTGCGCCTGAACTCGCGCCTCAAAGAAAAATGTCATATAAGGTAAGATACCAGGAACATGGAAAAAATTAAAAAAAAATATCTATAAAAATTTCGAAGTTATGAGGCTTTAAAGTTTACACTTTGACTCTACACGGTGCGCCAGAACTCGCGCCCCAGAGGAAAATTTCAGGTAAGATAAGATACGAGGAACATGGAAAAAATGTATAAAAAAGTCTATCTGTCAAAAAATTTTGCCATTTGTTTTTTGACATTTGACATTTTTTTATGTCTATTTAATAATACTGATGATCTTGTATATGTTTTTTTTACAATTATTTAGTAAAGGCACAAAAATTTTGACAATAAAAGCCACAAATGACATTGAACAGAGTTACAATTTAGGATACAGCTTCCTTGTTTCCTCTTTTAATAGCCTATAGCAAAAAAATTGGAAAATAATTTTTGCAACTGAAATAAATAGAGTCAAAGTGCAAATTTTAAACCCTCATAACTTCGAAATTTTTATAGATAAAATTTTTTTAACATTTTTTCCATGTTCCTGGTATCTTACCTTATATGGCATTATTTTCTGGGGCGCGAGTTCTGGCGCACCCTGTATTTATTTCTGTTGGAAAAATAATTTTCCAAGTTTTTTTGCTATAGGCTAATAAAAGAGGAAACAAAGAAGCTGTATCCTAAATTGTAACTCTGTTCAATGTCATTTGTGGCTTTTATTGACAAAATTTTTGTGCCTTTACTAAATAATTGTAAAAAACATATACAAGATCATCAGTATCATTAAATAGATATAAAAAAATGTCAAATGTCAAAAAATAAATGTCAAATTTTTTTGACAGATAGAATTTTTTAAACATTTTTTTCATGTTCCTGGTATCTTATCTTACTTGAAATGTTTCTTTTGAGTGCGAGTTCTGGCGCACCCTGTATACGAAGTGTATCAAAATTTTAAAAATCAACTTCTTTCATTTCGGGTACATCATAGTGCTGTACGTCCCGGATGGATCAAAAACCGGTTACGGATTAGATCCGGATCAAATCCGGATTGCGATAGAAAAAAATCCGGACCGTAAATCCGGATCAAATCCGGACCACTATAACGGATCGTATCCGGATCAGATCCGGATCACTGTAACGGATCGTATCCGGATCAGATGATCTGGACCACTAAAACGGCTCGTACCTACCTAATAAAAATCTAAGTCAGTTAGACGGATCGCATCAATATAATGACGTCTTAGATTTTAGGTCAAAATGTGTTTGGATTAAATTCGATTATCTGATCAAAAATTTGCATAGATACAGTATACTTAAACATTGTTTGCTGCAAACTGTGAAATGTAATATTTGCAGAAATTTGATGTATGGAAATTCATTCATATTAAAATATGAAATATTTTCTAAAAAATTTCATAATAATTTCATAATAACAACTTTTTTCAAAGTCACTTTTTTAAACAATTTTTCCCACGTGCACTGCGGCTGCACTAGAAACGGGCGCCAAGATTCCAAGAAATGCAGGTGTTATAAAGGCAGATTCCAGGAAAAATTGTAGTCAAAATTCTTGTATCCAGGATTTAATTCACTAATTCTTATCGTAATTATCTTAATCGTTCGATACATGTAGCTTCTTTTTGATGATGATTTAATATTTGATCCGGTTACGGACCCGTTTCTAATGCGGATCATTTCTGATCTGGATCATTTCTAATCCCGATCATTTCTCATCCGGATTATTGAAAATCTGATTCGGTTACGGATCGTTTCTGATCCGGATCATTTAAATTTTGATCCAGTACGGATCCAAATGTTTGATCTGTTCACCACTAGTACATCATATGCTCCTCGCATATTTATAGAAACGGGTTCTTTAATTTTTGAAATAACGTCATCAGCACTATACCAAACTAAATCGTTTCTGTCAGGCCATTTCCAATGATCTCTGCCACTTTTGTGCATGGCGCAACAGTAAAATTGATCTCTTTCTTTATTGACCACTTTTGCGGGATAATAATTCTTATCATACCTAACAATTTCATAGCATCCAACTGAGATGATCTTTTCATCAACTTTATTGTTTTGTATTCTTTGGTTAGTGTCAGTCTTACTGTTTTCTAAATTTTCAGTCTTCCTATATTCAACGTCACAGCTACTTTTTGATTCATTTTTGAGCTTAGTTTGTTTGGTCTTTTTGGGTTTCTTTTTGTCATTTTCTTTCGCATCCATTAATTCCATTAAGTGATCACAGAAGGTAATTTTCTTTTAATCCTCTGTGGTGGGTTATTGAGTTTTTAAAACTTTTTGAACCTACCTTTATTTTGGGTGAGCGGTGGCCCACCAAACAGAGCGATTAAATTTCTTTGAACGTAGGACCTCAGCCAACCCGTGAGATCAATCAATTTCAGGAGAGTAAGGTGCAGTCAATTAAAAATGCATTTAATTATTAAACTAATGTATTTGGAATAAAATAAAATATTTAACATAATATAAGTGAATAATACAAAAGGTAAATAAATGTTAAGCGAACATGATAATTAAAACAATTGTCTAAAATAGAGAGTATTCCTATTTTAGGCCTTATCAACGTCATAATACAAAACTGAAACTATTTTCTAACAACAAAAGCATTAATGTTTTAAGAGACATTATTACATTTAAACCGAAATTGCACAAACTATGGACTTTAACGAAATTAGGAAAAACAACCAAAATGCATTTATTATTCAATTTGGAAAAACATTGTAATTGCTGTATCAGGCTTATCTATGCATCGTATGACATTTCTGGTTTTCATTTGTCAACTTAACACTCCAATAAGAAACAAACGATAAATGAAACTAATATCTTAAACCTAACTTGGGGTTTGTGAATTGTAACCAGAGACCAAATCTCTGTCGTCATTGTTTTGATTCGTGAACCTATCCATCTTTCAACACGCTTATATATCAAGTTCATCCCGGGCCAAGCGCTTTAGCTTAGCAAAACATTACTTAAATAATTAGGAAATTTTGATAACGGCTTCGGTTGACATTTCGTTCGAAAATCCACAATAAAATCCTAATATGGTACGGCATGGTAAGTCGGAGCAATGTGAACAGTCAAAGGAAAAATAAATCAAAACTTACTCATTTCTTATGACAAAAATCGGTCTCAGAAGGTGAACTTAGCACAAAACTGCTTTGGCTCACAAAGTAACTACTCGCGTATTCACTCTGTTTGCAGAATGGTTACTCGAGATTCGCGTCTTCGCCTTTTTATGCTATGGCCCGACACGTCATCCGTCGATCGGATTTTTCCTATGCACGGAGAGAGGTCATCCTATGTGACCCAAGTGTGAACTTTTTTGAATCATACAAAGCACTTAAAATTCCACGCCGACTGCAAAAAACTCGCCTGCTCTAATTGTGTTTACGTTATGGCCTCCCGCAAGAGTCTGGGTTCTTGATCGCCTTTTAACTTCATAAGTTTGGTCTCTTTACAATATCAAAGACTAAGTCTTTTCAGCATTAAAAGAACAACAAGGGCTTTTTAGCCCGTCACACCTCTTAGTAGTCGTATTATCATTCGATTTATCTTTGTTTTCAGGCCATGTAATGAATTATTTAACGTATTTATTAAATTATCAAATTAAGAAAAGTTGAATTTGATACTAAAATGGGCTTTGTTTATTGTCAACATCTTTTTTGTATTTGAGACACACATCATATGACATTCATCAGTTTGATGCAATGTAGAGCATTTGTTGCGTTTTAAATTATTAAAATAGCAAAAGGGGTGGCGGCAATTCCAACAAAAGTGGTCGAAATAATTATTTTCGAATAGTAGTACTACTACTCTAACGAAAATTTTATTGTAGGGMAGAGTGGGGGAATTAACTTCTAAATTAACTTCTAAAGCTCAAAAATAATAAAAAAAAATATATATTAAATCAACTTTTATTGCTACATAAACTTTGGTTATTTCTAAACTTAGATGTCATAAACAAATTCTTAAACATTTAAGTTTTAATAAAAATATAAACAATAATATAAAACATTGCCGTTTCTATTTATCCCATACCCTATAGGGTAATTGAGATCATCCCACGGGGGAAATGGGAACGGTATGGGGTAATTAGGAAGGACGGTTAATGATATATCACACACATAATCTAGTCTCACCGGAAGTACATTTTTCATGTGCCCAGAGTTCTTCTGTCGGCGGAGATTGATACTTTTTATAGCACATTATACAATAACACTCTTCGTTTTCTTTTTCTTCTAAAGCTTTCTTCAAATTTTTGACTCGTTTACCCTTGACTCGTGGTTTCTTTGGTATAATTTCTGGTGATCTGTTGGTGTTCTTTTCTGATTTTGTAGTGTTTCTCTCACTTCGTTTTTTTGTTTTTTCTCTAATTGAATTTTTATTGGTGTGCTGGATAAAATCTGAGAGTGCTTCTTATTTTGTCGCTTAGAAGTGGTTCTTGTTTTAGGAATCACAGGCACATTGATGATTTCGGCAAGAGGCACAGGAGCGGGTGGAGGAGGAGCATTAATAGTAACGCTCAAATCATTTTCATTTTCAGGAACAGAAGTGGCATCCTGTGTTAGTATTTGACTCTGCCTTACAGTGTTAATGGACTCATTTAAACTTTGCTCAGCTGCAGTTTTATGAACATCACATTCTTGAGGCTGACTGGTGTAGCACTGATCAGATATCGTATTCTCAAAGCTGTCTTTAAATTATTTATCAGGATCAATAGGATAAATTCCAGCAGCCTTAAATCCACTGACAACCTTGCTTATGTTAACTGTTTTGTTATACGCCTTTGTAAAAAGTTCTCCAACCTCATATTGGGTTATTCGTCTGCCAGGGTTGTTAACCATGTAAAGTTCACATTCCTTATTTTATACCATCTTTAGTGAACTAAAAATTGTAAGATCCAGTGGCTGCATTTTGTGAGATACATGGGGTGGCAAAGAAAGAACATGCAGGTTGTGTTTTTGGAAAAGCTCGTATGCTCCCAGGCAGACATGACTTTCGTGGTTATCGAGTATTAATAATACTAGTTCCTCTTTGGTAGGACCGTTATACGCCGTAACAAATGAAAAATACGAGAAGCTAGCCGTCTCCGATTTATTTTATATTTAGAATTTTGGTATTTACTAATGCGCTTCAATAAGGTTAGGTACTTTTCTTCAACGAGTGGGATCTCTGTTGCATACAGATACTGATATTCGGGGTAATTTCATCATGGGCAGAGCTCTGATTTCTATGCAGGTGCTTTGGAGTGGTTTCGAATGGACTAAAAATAGAAGAAAACGAGTTGTTATTGGATTTTTTTTGATCCATCCGAAACCACTCCAAAGCACCTGCACAAAAAACCGGGTTCTCCAACGACCAAAAGCATGAAACGACCTTTTCGGTTAACTTCGGAAAATCTTCGTGATGAGCTCGGAATTTTCCAGAACTCGAAAACTAAAAGAAATTCCGAAAAATGTTATTCTTGATAAATGGTCACATTTTAATTGTATTTTACGTTACACTAATTATTTTTTTCGTAAAGTGCTTAGTTTACGAAAAAAACCCTTGGTTCCATACTTTTTATTCATCTGGTATGTCCGCGTACTCGACGTTATTGTAGGACATTTTTCGTTTTATTAACATAGCAATTAATTACAAATCTGCACTGGCGATTTTGTCACTGATTGAAAAGTCAACAAACGACAAAGCTACAAAAACGCCAAGGCATAAGAGTTTTTATCCGTTTTTCTATTGCAACCGTAAAAAACACTTGAATTGGAAAGTGAATATCCCAGTAGTAAATTTACTACCCAAATTTTGATCATAATTTTCTCGTTCACTATTGCCTTTTTCCAAAAAGTAATATTTTTTTATTATACCTGCATCATAACCCTAAATTAAAACACGCTGCAGCATGCGTAATTTGGCCTTTATAGCACGTTGAAATTTTAAAGTTGTCTAGGTAACAAGAAATGTCTGGACCAATTACAACGTGAAAAAATGTGCCTAACAACGTGAACTAGTAACCGTCTCTATGAAAACGATTCACGAACAACCTTTGATAATTTTATTGTGTAAATTCGCTATAACAAAATCACTCTGTATATCTAGAAAGTCTCTGTTTGTGTACGCTTCTGAATGCAACGATCTGAGTTTCGGTAACCTCTCGTAGTAAGCAACTATATCACCTGTTAGCCCGGTCAAATTAGTCATGAAAATAGTGGTCAAATAACGAAAATTCCGACAGAGCTAAATTTTGGTGGACACCTTGGGTACACCATTACAAATAAAATGTCAAAAAAAAAATCCCATGTGTGCTAAAAAAGTTATTTGGGGTTAAACGTCAAAATTTGAGGTTTTTTAAATTTTTTTAGAAAACGGTAAGTTTTATCAAAAAAGTAGCCCAGACAAAAATAATAGATCTTAAAATTAACTACAAAGATGGTCTTTATACTTTTTTTCTAAGAATCGCCATTCCTGAGATATCGCGATTTTAAAAGTTGAAGGAGTAACGTTCTACATCATATGCACATACAGAGTGCGCCACACAAATGCATGTAAGGTAAGGTACCAGGAACATAGAAACAATTTAAAAAAATCCATGTATAAAAATTTCAAAGTTATGAGAGTTTAAATTTTGCACATTGACTCTTATTTATTTCTGTAGGATAAATAATTTTCCACGTTTTTTTGCTACAGGCTATTAGAAGCGGAAACAAGGAAGCTGTATCCTAAGCTGTAACTCTGTTTAATGTTATTTGTGGCTTTTATTGACCAAAATTTTGTACCTTTATTAAATAATTATAAAAAAAACATATTCAAAGTCAACAGTATTATTACATAGACATAAAAAATTGTCAAATGTCAAAAAATAAATGTCAAAAATTTTTGACAGATTGAATTTTTTAAACATTTTTTCAGTACTCTTGGGACTACCCAATAACTCCCTTTCAAAAAAATGCGCGATTTTTTGAACACCCTGTATGTATTACCAAATAAATTCTTTTTAATTCTAATGGAATCGAGATATTTATAAGTTTAATGAAGTAGAAGAAAATTTTCAAGTAAGATAAGATACCAGAAACATGGAAAAAATGTTTAAAAAATTCTATCTGTCAAAAAATTTTGACATTTATTTTTTGACATTTGACATTTTTTATGTCTATGTAATGATACTGATGATTTTGTATATGTTTTTTTTACAATTATTTAGTGAAGGTACAAAACTTTTGGCAACAAAAACCACAAATAACATTAAACAGAGTTATAATTTAGAATACAGCTTCCTTGTTTTCTCTTCTAATAGCCTGTAGCAAAAAAACTTGGAAAATTATTTATCCTACAGAAATAAATAGAATCAAAGTGCAAAATTTAAACTCTCATAACTTCGAAATTTTTATAGATAGAATTTTTTTAAATTTTTTCCATGTTCCTGGTACCTTAGCCTACATAGCATTTTTCTTTGGGGCGCGAGTTCTGGCGCACTCTGTATGTGCATATCATGTAGAATGTGACTCCTTCAACTTTTAGAATCGCGATATCTCAGGGATGGTGATTCTTAGAAAAAAAGTATAAGGACCATTTTTGTAGATAATTTTAAGATCTATAATTTTTGTCCGGGCTACTTTTTTGATAAAACTTACCGTTTTCGAAAAAAATCTAAAAAACGTCAAATTTTGATTTTTGACCCCGAATAACTTTTTTAGCACACATGGGATCGATGGGGACTTTTGACATTTTATTCCTAATGGTGTACCCAAGATCTCCACCAACATTTAGCTCTGTCGGAATTTTAGTTATTTGAAATGTCTATTTTGACCGGACTATTTCAATGACTGAACCTTTGATGTGAAAATAAAAGGCAAATATGCTAAACATTATTTATTACAAAAATTAAAAATAAAGATATTAAAATATAAACTAAAATTATATACATAAAAATTTATATAAAATAAACTAACAATAACTAATCTAATATATTAGATGTGTTAATTTAAAACTTGCAATCGGCAATATCTCAACTGAAAAAAAAAATAATATTAATAGTATATTACTTATAATACTAGTTTTAAAGGCGCTTATAAACGAGTGTTATACACGATTTACGATCTTTTATGGTTATGAGCATTGAAAAAATGTGAATTTACACAATAAAATTATCAAAGGTTGTTTGTGAATTGTTTTCGTAGAGACGGTTACTAGTTTACGTTGTTAAGCACATTTTTTCACGTTGTAGTTGGTTCAGACATTTCATTATTTCTTGTTACCTAGACAACTTTAAAATTTCAGCGTGCTATAAAGACCAAATTACGCACGCTGCAGCGTGTTTTAATTTAGGATTATGATGCAGGTATAATAAAAATGCCTTTATTAATTAAATACAGGGTTGATACACATTGGCATTCTGCTATGGCGAAGACTAGCTGAGGCTACTCCACTTAACCCTAGCAGAAGCAATTACAATAAACTTAATTACTAAAATAAACATATATTCCGTTGAAATTAACACTAAAATAAATTAACACACCAATTAACACATTCAATTCAAACAAGGACACAAATAAAAATAAGCAATAAACAAAATTATGTATTAAGCTGATAGTAATAAATATACCTTAATAAGCTTCTTAAAATTGCTTACTGATTTTGATTTAAATGCAGAAGGTACAGAATTATATAATTTGACATCATTAAAGGTAAAAGATCTTGTAAACAAACTAGTTCGGAAACGAGGCATAGACCGAACATCAGTATGACGTATCTTAACGATATGAAAATTATACCTACATAATAGCTTATCACAAAGGTAGGGAGGAGAAGTGGTTTTAAGAACAACGTAAACATTAACAAGTAACATGGTAAGTGACGCACCTTCACCCACCTATGAATATAATAAAAAAAATGTAAACTTAATGTCCTCGTTTTTGAATAAAAACGGCTTTAGCAAATGGGCTTTCCAAAGCTGTATCCATAAGTAGGGTCGTGCTATTCAAATTTATCAGCTTAAGGTGGCTGTGGCTTCAAGGGTGGGTGGAGGAGTGACACTCACCATGCCATTTTGATTCCCCCTAGGATCTCCCGAAACGTTGTTGAGTGATTCTGAATAACTTTTTTAGTTCTAGATATATTGCCGATTGCCAGTTTTAAAATTTACACCCTGTATAATATGAACCTACATCTATCTATCTACACCTTAATATTTAATAAAATTGACCTACATTTATTTTCTTCCTCAATTTGGGATTTGAGGAGAGAGCTTATTGCTCTCCTCTTCCTCCTAACTTGGTTGAGGCTTTTTTTTAAATCCCACCTCTTCTTGACATAGCTTGTTTAAAATGGATTCCGCCAACATTCGTTTATTGGCCAAAATTTCTTTTCGTTCTTCTAGCCGCCTCTTCAGCTCCCGCACCTCCTCCTCAACCGAACAACTGTATGGTGCTTTAGTTGTCTCCAACATTTGCTGCAATTGTTCATCCTCTTCCTCATTGTTCTTATCTTCATCTTCACCCTCAACCTCATCAGTTTCAACCTCTTGTTGAACGAAGGTGAGGTCTTTTGTTGCTCGCGCTCTTGGGGGATGGATCTTTATGTTGGATAAGACTTCAATTTTTTGGGGTTCAGGTTGTGGTTGTGGTTCATCTTCATTGGCTGGAAGTGGTGGTGGAGAAATGTTCTCCAGCTCAATGAGAATGGAGTCACTTGCCAAAATATTGTTCATAAAAATTTGTTCAAATTCTTGCGTTATTGGGCCTCCTACATGCATGGGACTCCTGAGATCAAATATTTCCTGCAAAAAAATATAAATGATATTTTTACTTTAAAATATATTTTTCAAATTTATAAATACCTGAAATAAGAATGCGGTTTTGCATACATTATGTTTAATACATTGTATAATATTCTAGAGATAGTTTGGTGGCTAAATCCAAATAAATAAGAAATAAGTGTGAAATTTACATTTACTCTTAATTTTATTAGTGCAATTCAAAAATGCGTAAAAGGATCTACTACCGACCATAGTAAACAATAAGGATCAGAATTTTTAATAGTTGTTACACTTTTTGTTTTCTTAATAAATGGTGGTAAATCAACATAAGTCGGAAAACCAACATTTATTGGATTATAAAAATTATTGCTGACTTTTAAATGCAGTATCTCACACAAAGCCCAACCATTATCCCTTTCTTAAACTCTTCTCAATCAGTTAAAATTTTGTTTGTAACATTAGTTTAGTACTAATCTTTTAATTTAGTATTAAGGTCAACTATACTATTTCCAGCAGCAAATTTTTTTTATTGATGTTTCGTCAGTTTTAGGTTTTTATAAACATTTCAACAAAAATTACGTTCAATTTAATTATTGACTTTTCCAATTCTATTTTAATTCTCCTTGAAAAAATTTAAAATGCGTTTTTAAAAAATTCTTCAGGTTCTTTAATTTTCAAATTAGATATTATTCCAGTTTTAACTCGTTTTATAAAACATAACTCAACATCTTGCCAAGCTAAATGTTTCTTGAAAAAAACTTTCGATTTTGAAACTTGTGTTTTTAAATTTTGAACGTACGTTTTTAAAATGCTCAAATTCGATTCAATTTGTGCAATTTTGTTAACACAATCTTCTTTTAATACAGTTTGTTAACATTCGAATAATTTTATCATAGTAAGTAATAAAGTTACGATAGTCTTTTTTGTTTTATTTAATCTACTTACAGTTTCAATATGTCGTACAGCTTGACTGAATAGCTCATCCATGAATCTAGGACCTTTAGTGTTGTTGTTGGAAGTTGTTGTAGTTATGTTGTTGGTTGTGACTACAGATATGGCTGTTGCTGAGCTGCTGGTTGTAGTAGTCTTGTTGTTATTAGTATTAAATTTTTAACTAAACAAGAAAAAAACAATTCTAATTTCATTTGAGAAAATACTTAGAAATATATTATACTTACATGTTATTGTTATTGCTGAACAAACACAAAGAATGTTTGTAAGTGACAGTGATGCCTATGATTACTCTCTAAGTGGTATTTGTTTACTGTTAACTTCAGAATATCAAGTATTTATAAAATAGTTTTCTTTTTAAAAAATGTTATCTCACTGACTGACTAACTACGTATATCTTATTTTTGTGTAAAACGTTGTAATTTCTTGAACTGTGATTGATAAGAGAAAGGTTATGGGTTATTTTTAACGTTAAAATTTCATAAAATAAAATCTGTAAGGTAAGATACCAGGAACATGGAAAAAATGTTAAAAAAATTCTATTTATAAAAATTTCGAAGTTATGAGAGTTTAAATCTTGCACTTTGACCCTATTTATTTCTGTTGGAAAAATAATTTTCCAAGTTTTTTTGCTACAGGCTATTAGAAGAGGAAACAAAGAGGCTGTAACCTAAATTGTAGTTCTGTTCAATGTTATTCGTGGCTTTTATGGACAAAATTTTTGTACCTTTACTAAATAATTGTAAAAAAACATATACAAGATCATCAGTATTATTAAATAGACACAAAAAAATGTCAAATGTCAAAAAACAAATGGCAAAATTTTTTGACAGGTAGAATTTTTTAAACATTTTTTTTATGTTCCTGGTTTCTTATCTTACTTGAAATGTTTCTTTGGGGCGCGAGTTCTGGCGCATCCTGTATATTGAAAGATTTGCAAATATAAAGTTCATCTAATGAACACATGTGTTTTTAATGCTCGTCTTAATTTATTTATATTCATACTTTAAAATTGTCGAGTATTGTGCAAGTGCATAGGTCATTTGATTACATTACAATTTTTATCAAGAAAAAACTTGATAAATCTTAATGAGCATGTTTGTGTTTATAATGCACTTTTAACTCTATTTTACATTTTTATATTCTAATTTTAAAATTTCCTAAAATGTATTGTATTAGGGTAGAACAGAGGTTCCACTTGAGATCCACCTGAACCTCGCCCTATTGTACAACTTGTATGTAACAATAAAAGTCAGTTATTATTATTATTATAAAAAAAAGTATATTATTATTATTATATTATTTGGGTATTGACCATTTTCCACGTGGCCAAGGAGACTGATCATTAGGGATAGTGTTGCTATCAACTAATGATATGAATCCAGTATTTGCACGGGCAGGCACGACATTTATACTTTGACAGTGAAACAAACACTTTATTGATAATTATCAGATGAATGGCAAATGTTACGGAAACCATAGAAATGGATTTCAAGTAAAGTTCGCCCTTCCTGAAATAGTTCCGGGAATCTGTTGCTGCAATCGAAAATGCAACGTACAAATACGGTCGTATCCCACCTCTGCGGATACTATTATTAGTATTATTGCAAGATTTGTATGTTCATGAGTGCACAGTTCATGTGATGATAATAAAAACATCTTACAATGTTTCGCGACTTTACCCAAGATTTTTTGAGGCCACCAGCACTATTTAGTAGCTCGGTTAATTACTGCCATTTTTCATTTATATCGAGGTTATAAGTAAAGCTCGGAGTTGTCTTTCCCGATAATATTCTTTTATTTTCTAAAAGAAGGGAGACCATTTTTCCTTTTTGTTCTCTAGTAATCTTCATTTTTGAATTTAAAGACAATACAAAACACGCAAGCATAAATGGCACGAATGAGTTACAGTTCTGGTGAAATCGCAGTGTTGCCAAATCAACCATCTCAGTTTTCATTTCATACGGATGAAATGAGTCATACGAGCAGCACGACTGCTCCCAACTGGAGGGAACTTTTATTCAAATGGCAAAAGGGATAAAGTCTCCGAAAACGGGGAATTTTACTATAATGTTTAATCAAAAATAAAAATATAATTTATAAAAAAAATTACTACATCTTAAGTAAATTTTGCCATTTTTTCATATGCAGCCACCAATACTTTGGCACCTGTTTAGTCACCAACATCAGCTCGATGGATACAAGATTTATAAAGTAAGAAGGTTGCCTAGTAACTTTGCACCAATCACGTGTACGCATTATTCGCGCGAATTGACGTCACTGAAGTGATCGTTCAAAAATAGGATATGCAACCAAACATATTATTATGTTTAAAAACTAGAATTCCGTAAAATAAATAAGGATAAAACATTTCTTATTAAGGGTAAAATAAATAAGATACAGGATGATTCTTAAATAGACCGACAAAATTTTATCCTTGGTAGTATCAAATGAGAACATGCTGGAAAAATTATTAAAAAATTCTTTGTTTAATTGTTCTCCAAATAAAATTTATTAAAATTATTTTTGAGGTAAAGCGGACGCCACTGATGTCTTCGTAAATAGTATTAGCACAGGTAGTGGAAACCATGGTATTAATTTCATGATAATGTACTTCATCATTGCAACAATTCATAAACGCCGTAAGTGGCACGGATCAAGGGGTTTTTGCAACTAAAAGATATAAACGTAAAAAGGGTACAGTTTGTCTCCATTTATTCTTGGAAAGCTGTGATAATATTTTGTCGGTGTATTTAAGAATCACCCTGTATACACATAGATAAAAAATATCATTTTATTTTGATAAAACTTGCAATATTTTAATTAACTATTTATCGCAGAACACTGATCTTTTTTGTATATGATAGGAAATTAAATTTTCTTACCAAGGGTATCAAACATAAGAGGTTATCACTAATCAGTTCGGAATTATTGGCAATAGACCGCCCCGGGTGCCAAAAATCGACCAAAATCTCGACAAAAATAAAAAAAAAACATTCCACCTTAAACACTCAAAAAACAAGTTTAAAAAATTAAAAATTTTTTGAGTTTAAAAAGCTTTTAATATGGTTTTTTAGATGTAAAATTACCCGCTGAACACGATGCTGCAGGTTAAAATCCTCTACGATGCGATATTGAGTAATAAAGTTAAGAATAAGGCTAGAACCATACAAGATCTATAAAGAAGGATGTGGTAAATAATGTATGATGCTACACAATAATAGTAACACAAATCTGAAATCTGACATAAGGTGACCAACTTCAGTAAATTCAAAATCAGGACGTAAATTTATTATAGACCACAAAAAGTAGGTATTACTTATGTTTCTGTATAATAGTATGTTATACAACGAGCGTATAATGATTATACGCGAGTAGTATACTATACTTTATCCACGACTACTATTTTTGTTGAAGCTTTTGTGTTGGAAAATTTTCTTACATTAAGTATGTTAAAAAGCCCGCGTTTTGGGGAATTCTTGGAATTGGCAGGGGGAAATGTTGCCGGAACCATCTGGCAACCCTGACTGTTAGTAAATTATCCGAATATTGAGAACAGTAAGTTTTAATACATATGTGTCTGTTTGTCTTTTAATATATAAATATATTAGATGAATTGCCCGTGTTCATTGGGTGTCTCTCTGAAACGACCATCGACAAAGCCAAGAACTACTTTTTACGTTGTTGCTACAAGGATGTGGTTATACATGAGGTTATACCCTGGAAACCAAGATTTATAAAGTAAGAAGGTTGCCTCGTAACTTTGCACCAATCACGTGTGCGCATTATTCGCACGAATTGACGTCACTGGAGGTTTCGTTCAAAAATAGGATAAGTAACCAAACATATTATTAAGTTAAAAAACTAGAACTCCGTAAAATAAATACTGATAAAATATTTTTTATTAACGGTATAATACGCATTGATAAAAAAATATAAATTTATTTTGCTAAAACTTGCAATATTTTAATTTATAATTTTATTCATTTTTTCTTTGTTAGTTTATCAGAAATTTTTTCGATACCTATTTGTAGTGTTTGTAGAGGGTGTATCAATAAATGGATATGGAATTCTTAATAAAACTTCTGTATTTTCAAATTATGACTTGTTTACAAATTAATTGTAACTTGAAGTAACTAACAACAGTAATTCCAATGTGTACTTGATCACTTCATTACTTGATCCAGAACACCTCCCCTTCTTAATTCATTTGTATATAGGTAGGTAATTTCAGAAGTAACCACTTTTTATTTATTGACTTGTCCACTCGCGGGTCTTATTGACACTTCGGATGTACAGGTCCTGGGATTCTGGGAATTAAAAAAAATGGAAACGGAAAAGTACTCATCACTATAAGAATACATGTAAATAAAATTGACTCAAGTGTATGTGGTTGTAATAATTTGGTTGATGTGCCTTTTCCAAACACGTCCATCGTCTAACTTTATCAGATAATGTAATTTTCCAATTTTTTGTATAATAACTCCTCTTACCCATTTGTCTCCCCCATAATTTCTTACTTGTACCAAAATTCCTACTTGTAAATTTCTAAATTTTTTATTATTATTGTAATCCTTAGAATGTGTGTAAATTGTCTCAGGTCTAAGCAAATCTAATCTTGACCGAATTTCTCTAGAAAACATTAAAAATGCAGGAGTTTCATTTGTGCTACAATGAGGTGTAATTCTGTAGTGCATTAAAAGTTTTTGTAAATTTAATTCAATGTTTTTATTTTCTTTTATTAATGAATTTAAGGCGTTTTTAAGAATTTGAACAAAACGTTCTGCTTGTCCGTTACTTGCTGGATGAAAAAGTGCAGTTTGTTTATGTACTATATTGTTACTTTGAATAAAATCTTTAAATTGTTTCGAGCACAATTGAGAACCATTGTCGCTCACAAAAACTTTAGGAATACCAAACATTGCGAAAATTTCTCGACAGAATTTAATTGTAGAATCTGTTGTAATATTATTTACTATTTTAACAATTGGACACTTTGAAAATGCGTCAACTAAAATAGCAAAATATTTTCCTTGAAAAGGACCTGCAAAATCGAAATGTACTCTTTCAAAAGGCTTACTCGTTGGTTCCCAAATATGATTTTCGGCTTTTTGTGGATTATTTCTGACTTGTTGACAATTTTGACAACTTTTAATCAAATTTTCGATATCATCATCAATATTTAGCCACCAACAGTAACTTCTAGCTAAAGCTTTTGTTTTTACAATACCAAAATGTCCATAGTGTAATTCTTGTAAGATTCTTTGTTGTAAAGATTTTGGAATTACCACTCTGTGGCTACGAAAAAGTACGTCTTGCTGTAAACTGAATTCATGTATATCGATATTAAATGATTCAGATTTTTTTAAATMTAAACCCTTCTTCATTCTGTTTATTATGTTTGATAATATTTTATCCTTTTTAG